ATCTCGACACTTAACAAACTCCTGCCTATCGTGACTCGGCACAAAAAATTTAAAATATTGGTTCCGTACGTCATGCGGACTGCGCCCCTCGTGCGGATGGGCGGGAATGGAGGGTAAAAACCGTTGGGATATATTATATATTTATCTTTATCTACCTAATTCATCAGTTGAAGATCTTCTGCTTCAGTACAATCAGAAAATCTATGCTTTTTTGGTTTAAAGACACATCCATTGGTTTTCATTTCTATGAAAAATAATAAAGAACAATGATGTTTATAATTGGAAAAAAAAACCATGGCGAAAAAACCCAAAGTCGAGAATGCAAGTTTTGATATAAATCTGCCTTCATTACTTATTATCATTTATATTTTCACTTCTAAACAACGATTGGTGGCCTTTTCATCATAAAAAAGAATATACAGCAAACAAAAAATTTTTACACTTAATTTTGGATCGAATATGACTTTGATTATTTGGCTCCTAAAGTTTTGTTTCCATTGAAATTCATTTTTGAGGCCAAATGATTTAACTTTAGCAGAGAGAATAAAGCAAATTTTAAACAACAAATAATAAAGTAACGGTAAATAATGAGTAAATAAAATTTCTACGAAAAGATTCCACTGCGTTTTGCCCTAAAACAAATATTAACCGTTGAGAAATTGGTTGTTAGAGGGTTAAAGACCAACATCTCGAAAACGGTTAAGTTTTGGACATCATGTCATTGAAACAATTTAATCAGAAATCAGCTAAATAATACGTTCTTAAGTACGAGTATCTAAGATGACCTTGGCGGTAACTCTGTATAGATAAGGCTTGGACCAGAAAATCCTACTTTACATATTGTTCAATATCTGAGTTTTACAAAAATGGCGGTATTTATTGCTTATTGCATTAATTTCCATAATTTAAATGTATGTTTTGGAATCAAAGAGTTTAAGAGTGCCACGCATATATTTTATATTAATATACCCTTAAAACCGCGAATCCTTATGCAGTTATTCAGCACTTTATACATAAAGATATTTTGTTTATTGCAGAATGGCTTAAATGCGCTTCACTTGGCTGCCAAAGATGGTTACATCGATATCGTAAGTGAGCTCCTACGACGCGGCATCAATGTGAACAATGCCACAAAAAAAGGGAACACAGCGCTCCACATTGCTTCACTGGCTGGTCAGAAGGACGTAATTAAACTACTTATTCAGTACAATGCAAATGTGAATGTGCAATCGTTAAATGGGTTTACACCACTTTACATGGCGGCGCAAGAAAATCACGATGCCTGCGTTCGTTTTCTGCTGGCGAAAGGAGCGAATCCGTCGCTAGCTACTGAGGTAATAGTCATCGAAAACACGTGTCTTTGAACTTTTGACAAACAATTATATGATTTTAGATGTAAAAATATGGATTTTTTTTTACAAAAATCAAATATTTTTTTTTATGCTTTTATGAGAATGGCTTCCACACACAATGGGTTAAAAGTTAAAATATAGTAAGGGAACCAAACGATTTTGTGCTTTATAGCAAAAATGGCCAAACTCACTATAACTAAACTAAGTTTTAGGACGAGTGGTGGCGCTTATAAGTATTATTGCATAATTTCGTTGTTTCATTTATTTTTTTAATTCCACAAACCCAAAAAACTTTCAGCATTCTATGGCGGCTACTTAATTTGCAAGTATACGACTGACGCATGTTGCACGAGAAAGCCTACATAACAGCCGTACAGGAGGCCGGGGTCTTTCAACAACGCGTAAACTGACTGCATGGCTTACGTGGGGTCAACGTCCCATTTTATTTATTTATTTATTACGGTCGTATGACCTATATACATTCACATATAAACATATATAACAAATATTACAAAATCAGCATTTGGACATTAAAAGTAGAAATAAGAGTAATTTCAGTTTTCTTTAACAGTTTTTCTTTTAATCTAGTTATAACACGGCCTATGTATCTGTTAAAATATCTAAGAGTGTCACGTTTTTTAAGCTGTGGAATGGACGAGATTCTGAGTAGCACAGTACATTACTGGGCGGGTGGAAAGGACTAGTTTCCAAGTCTCCTCCTTTGCATACCACTTTACGGGCAGGCGATCCTTTACTGTACTCCCACTTTACAGTGACCAAAATTGTGCAATTCTGCTGCGAAGACCTCATTCCTGCAAAACTGAGCTTCAGAGGCAAGAATGGTTGGAAACACTTTGCTTCCATATGACTATCTCGCTGGCTGAGTGGAATATCTATCTCGGCTGCCGGTTTGACAATGCCCTACGTCAGCAATGGTCAAAGAACGCCATATTTTAGAATCTGGTTGAATAACGCTCTATCTGAGCAAATGGTTCAAGAACGCCCTATCTTAGCTGCCAATATATTGAATTTATATTGAGATAAGGCCGTTTTCAAAGCGGCAACTAAGATAGGGCGTATTTGAACCAAATACTGAGGAAGGGCGTTCGTCAACCATATTCTGAAATAGGGGCTTTCAACCTTTTGCTGATATAGAACGTTTTCGAACCGCCAGCCGAGATAGGGCGATATTAACCTCAGCCGTCGATTCGTTCCTGATGAAATAAGGAGTTACTGAAGTTACTACTGCATGCAAAAGGGAGTACAAGAAGCTAGTTAATTATACGAAAATTTCGCGCAAATTATACGAAAAGAATTTTCACATAATTTGTGGTGTGCGTCTTGATGTTGTTACACAAATGAAGCCCTACAATTTTACGCTGGCTACGAACGGCAAATGGATTTTATGAGAATCTTTTTCATAGCAGAAATACAATCGGAGGTTTGCCAGCCAAGACTCAAACCTTTTTTTAATTTAGATGTTGCTCGGACCAGGTCCAATGGGGGATAGCCCGCATCTCTAAACACTCAGCACAGAACCCACTAAAATCTACCTTAAAAAATAAAAAGTCTAAAGATACGACTCACAAAGGTAAAATGAAAGACCTTATACCTTTCTGCAACGAGTTGGTGATATTGAATACAAGTACTCCTATATTGACCCACTGATCGAATTTGTGCTCGTCGGAGGCTCTTTAAGGTAATTAAAACACTTTACAAAACTTGCTAACACAACTGAACTTATAGCTTGCTTATTCGCAGCTGACTGACTTCAACTGTAATAGCGGCCTTATATACCTGCGCTCGCACTCATGGCAACTCTAGAACGTTCTGAGGTTTATCGCTCATTCTCACCTTCTCTCGCTGTTCGCAGTATTTATACACTTGACGTTTCTCACTGTCGTACATTCCATTCTACGCCATTCCTCGAACATTCTGCCATTTTCTCGTGTTCGCTTCGCGTTGCCGCAGTATTTGCCACACTGCCCTACACCTAAGTCTGATCGTCCCGATCAGACACACTTGCTGCTCCAAACACTGCAAGTCTTTTCAAGTGGACAACTTTCATCTTGTTTCTCGGTCTCCCCACGGTCTGGATTCGATACACTACGTCATTCAGCCGTTTGACAACTTTATATGGACCTTCCCAGCTGCACTGTAGTTTTGGGGACAAACCGTTCTACCGTTGTGAATTGTACAGCAACATTAAGTCCAACTCTTGGAAACCATCGGAGTTCATACCTGGCATTCATCTTGTCACTCATAATTTGAGTACGCTGTCTAACAAGAGCATGTATCTCTCTCAGCTCCTCTTCCAGGCTGTTGGACACAGTATATACAGTAATATACCTTTTTGAGTACTCCTCGGGGATAAAATCTGAACAGGGTTGATAATGAGAATGAATTTTGTTGATTCAGAGTTATATACAAAATTACTGTGGTATGAAAAGGAGCAACACCATGACCACCATAGCCAACGGAGTGTCCAAGCAAACGCATGCCCTGAATTTATACGGTAGCAATTCATAGCAATTACTATTGAATGTGTGTATGATTTATAGTTGGGACATTCTATATATACTTTGATGTTAAGTATTTTTGAGGAGCTCCGGGTAATGGTCGCTCCAACTTGTGTGTGCTTAATGAACTGTCTGGGCGGATGCGCTGATAGCCATCGAGTCTTTATAACTATACAAACCCTGTGTTTTTTTTTTGTTGGAATAAAGAATTAAATATGTTCCGAAACTTAGAATTTTACTTGATAAATTCACAAAATAACAAAATCTATGTTTTTCATAAAAATATAATCTTACGATGAATTTTAAACTAACATTTAAGAGAACTCCATTCAGTGCTATAATTACGACTTCAGTTTTCCAGTTTATAGAAACACAATTATGTACTTAACTATTGACATTATTCTTAACTAAGCATTGATATTATACTTAACTTACATTTTGTTTATAAATAACACATAGTAACATATATTTTACCGTCGAAAATAACTTTTTCTAATCATGAGGCGGAATTCCCCACAGTTAGTATTGCCGTGCGCGAAAAACGGAAACGCTGCACACAACCCAAAAGTACTCCTCGGCGACCAATTAGTGAAAAACCGCGATAAGGTCTATTACTGTATATACTGTGATGTTGGACGTCTCTTTCCCAATTCTTCTTGCATCCAGTGTACGAAAATAAACTATATTGTACGTTACTATTTCGTTTCGTTTATTACTTTAACAGTTCGGTACAATACGAAACAAAACGGCTGAGTTCACTTTGGCGACAGTACACTACAGTAGTTTAGTAGTTACAGACGAAACAACAAACGAAATGAATCGTGCAGGGAAAATATATTTATGTATGCACATATATGCAATAAACAAATACACAACGAATGGCTGCAATGAATAAAAAAAATAAAAATGTTTTTTAATTGAATTGGATATGAAAATTTACAGAAAAAATTATTTTTCACGTAATTGAAACGTTTGCATACATATAAAACGTACCCTATGGTACAATTGTCACAAACGAAAAGCAAACGTTTCTCGTTGGGGAAAATGACAGTGAATCTTACAATTTGTTTCTGACTATTTACAAAACTGTACAAAACCACAAATGATATGATGATCGATGAGCAAATGGGAATTGTTTTGTACAGTTTATTTTCGTACCCTGCTTGCATCTCACCACTTACTCCAAACTTCGGATCACTAGGCAAACGGAGTCCACTGCCGAAGATTACCTTGGCAGTAGTTTTACCCGTGGTTTCATGCATTGCTGACCGGTATCGCATCAGGAACAAGGATATGCGGACATCCCAATCTTTCTGATTCTTGTCCACGACCTTCCGCAAATGCTCTTGCAGGGTTCGGTTGAACCGTTCAACCATGCCATCTGATTGGCGATGAAGAGCCGTTGTTCGAGTTTTCCGGATACCCAGTATCTGGCACATCTCTTGGAACACCGCCGATTCAAAATTTCTTCCCTGGTCAGAGTGCAGCTCTATAGGTATACCGTATCTCGCAACCCAATTGTAGCTGAATACCTCAGCTACTGTTTTAGCTTCCTGGTTCGAATCGGGTATACCTCCGGCCATTTGCTAAAGTAGTCCATTACCACAAGGACGTATTTGTTTCCCTGTGTGCTCATAGGAAATGGACCGGCTACATCCTTGGCAATCCGCTCGAATGGTGCACCTGAATTATACTGCTTCATCTGGCCATGACTTCGGGATTTCGGCCCTTTAGCTGCAATACACTCCGCGCAGGTAGCAATCCACTCTGCGACCGATTTCCGGCAACCAACCCAATAGAACCTCTGCTTGATCTTCTCCAGCGTCTTCGTGATTCCCAGGTACCCTCCACTGGGACCATTGTGGAATTCCTTGAGAACGTCCGGAACTCTTACCTTCGGAATTACTATTAAATTGCGGGAGCACTGGCCATCTTCACTTTCTCATACCCTATGCAAACAGCCAGATATCAACCTCAAGCTGTTCCATTGTGCCCAGTATGCCTTTGTGATTGGGCTCCCCGCTGCTATTTGCTCCTTAGTTGGGCGTCTGTCCGTCTCCAATCCATGCATCAAAATCTCCAGATCTGGATCTTCCTGCTGACATTTTCGTAGCAGTTCTTTCTTCCCCTCTTCGACTGGTGTAATTGTCGTTAGTCGGACATCAATAATGTCTTCTTTGGCCTCAGCTTTTGAGCAGTGTTTACATTCCAGGCTACATGGTCGACGGGACATGGCATCAGCATTTCCGTGGACACTTACTTCGATGCTCAATGGAGAAGTCATAACTTAGCAGTCGCTCAATCCACCGAGCTAGCTGTCCTGGATTCTTGAACTGTAGTAGTCACTTCAGCGCTGCATGTTCCGTTCTAACTCGGAAACGTTGCCCTTAGTGGTACTTGTCGAAATGTTTGACGCGCTCCACCAACGCTAGAGTTACGCAGTAATTCCTCTGTGGTTTTGCG